CTTACACCCTCTCACATGAGGGTGGTCCCACACAATAAAAAAGGGAAAAAAAATTACCCACCCACCACCCCTGTGAGTATCTGCAGGTTTTATGTGTAGTGCTGTTCTTTTATTTTTGGCTTCCTAACTCTTGTAATATTCGAAATCAATGTTTTGGGCACTGAAAATTTGGTGGCAGGGTACCTAATTCCAAAGGGATGGAAGGTCATGCCTTTATTCAGGAATATTCATCACAATCCAGATTTCTTTGTTGATCCTCAAAAGTTTGATCCTTCTAGATTTGAGGTACGAGTTAATATTTTTATGGTTGACTTTTAATTGCATATTTAGTAAGCATAATTAAAACCCCATTTGAGCCTCATTATTTGTGTAAAATGCATTTTTAATAGTAGATTAATTGAAAATGTGTGGTTAAAAATGAGAGAAATTTTTTTAGATTGTGTATAATATTATTTTTATTGAAAACGTGTGGTTAAAAAGAAGAAATGAAAATGTATTTCGAAAAAATTAGGATCAAATAAGATCAAAGCCTCTGTTTGATAGTTATTATTTGAGAAAAATAATGTTTTGAATAGTGAATTTTTGGATAATGTATTATTAAAAAGTAAGAAAAAAAATTGCAGGTTTACGTGCAGAATATTTTATTTTTTGAATGTGTAGTTGAAAATGAATAAGTACAATAAAAAACTTTGAAATAATAATCGGAAAACAAAGGCTAATATCAATCTTTAAGCTTCATTTGATTCCAAATAGTTACTAATCTAGAACTTCGTTTCAAGTAGGTCACTCAGTTTACATTTCATCCGTTAATTTAATTAAATACGCTGACACGTTAATTTTTATGTAAGACAGCCTTGCCATACAGAAACGAAAACATACATGGTAGACACAACGTGTGGGGCCCACTTTTTTTAATAATATTTAAATCAGGTGGGACCCACATCCATGTGAGTCTCCTGTAAAATCTCTGGCAATGGATTTCTGTACATTCAGCTAAATTGTTTTTATGTTAGCTAAACTATTGACTTTAGACAAAGTGACTTATTTAATTTCAGAAACTAATTTAGCCTTGTTTGGTGTAGCTTAAAATCTTATATTTGGTAAATTTTTGATAAAGTTGATAAAATATATGATTGAAAAGTTGTGGATTCTGTGAAATGTGTAATTAAAATTGATTATTGACTTTTACTTAAAAATTTAATTTGATTAAAATCTACACCAAGCAAGGACTTAAATAACGCATTATTTATTGTTACTGTGGGTTTTCTAAAGCAAAAGGAGATTTTACTCATTGGTTGACTCCAGGGTCTTCTTGCTCCAAGAGGCTCCTGTTTGAGCTACATTCTCATTTTTCTATTCATTTTCAATCATACATTTTTCAATAAAATAATATTATCCATCAGATAAATAACTTTTCCTTCTTTTTAATCGCATATTCATCATTACATCACAAAAAAAAAATGTATTCTTTCCATTTTAATGTGCATCAAACACATTAATATGAAAGACAAATTGTTTTTATAATCACGTACGAAAACAAGTAGGATGTGGTGAGACCCAATACATTTATGCCATTTGGCAATGGAGTACATGCCTGCCCCGGTAACGAACTTGCTAAGCTAGAGATGCACGTTATGATCCACCGTCTGGCTTCTCAGTTCAGGTAATATTTAAAACTAAAACACGAATTTTTAGAAGGATGTTTAGTACGTTATATTAGATATTATTAAATCAGACAAATTCTTTATATATCTATCTCGTTTCTAGTATGTTCAATTCAACACATCAAACACGTCATATATATTAATTCAAGATTTTTGACAGTACAATATAAAATGTTAATGTTTTGATTAATGTTATTCATCCTCCAATGTGGATAAAAACACAGTTTATGTGGCATTAAATGATAAGTTAAATGAAATGTGAAATTGAATGACTTATTTAATTTCACCTATCATTTAATGTCACATTAACGCCACATAAATTGTGTTTTCATCTCCAGTGGGGATGAATATCATTACTCTAATATTTTTTATAGTATTAGTATCTGTCTTAATAGCTACAAGGCGACATTGGTGAGTGGTATGATTGTGTTTGCAGGTATGAAGTGGTGGGATCCCAAGGTGGGATTGAATATGGCCCATTCCCCATCCCATCGCATGGACTGCCCGCCAGATTCTGGAAACAAGAATCAACCAATTAAGTAGGCCATACCAAGTCACGTTCCTTAACCAAATTTCACTTTTCCTCTTTGTTTTCAATCCAATTTTCCCCTCCAAAATCATGTGGGGTTGGCTCTTTTTCCCTCAAGAGTAATTACTCTAGATTCTAGGAAGTATTGTATTCGTATCTCTTATCAGTTAGAGCTAGTAAAATGTGTACTATTTCCAATGAATAATTGGAATTGAAATATTAATGTATTGAAATATACTAGAATTTGATTCAGTTGAATTACCTTGTCTCGTGGCTTTGTTTGACTTATTTTCTCGCCAATGTCGTGGAAATCAAATTTCCTTTTTCCTAGAGGAAATTTGCTCGAGAGTGACCATGTGTCGAGAGAAAATGGGAAAAGGTTGCTATTTATCTTCAATATTCAAATATATTTGAATAATTTTTTTAGCTGAACTAAACGAGGGTTATATTTGTTTTGCCACATGAAGTTGTTTGCTTATTAAAATGATGCTTAGTTCATTAAAACTCAATCACTGGGTAGAACTTATCGAATTCAACATGCTTTTGTCACGAAAATTAATAAAAAAGAGTTTCTTGTTTTCAACTAGTCTCCAATCTTCCCTATATGGGAGGAGTCGAGCTCGGACACTTATCATTTTGAAGAATCAAACTATTGCACAACTTGTATTCCGACTTTCTACTATCTTTCCCATTGATCGGAATTCGAAAGTAGATTCAAAGGTTGTTAATTATTTGAAGAGGGTATAAAAGAAAGGATGTGAATAGAAAATATTAGAAGAAAAAATTGATTATATTTTAAATTGACAAATAATAAAATGACACGTAATATTATGTAATTCATTATATAAATTTTGATGCACATGTAATAAGATCTTTAAAATTTACCTCTTTAAACAGTTCTAGTGAATAATGACACGATTTAAGATTTTAAATAAGTTTTTTAATAGATTGTTCTTGTAAAGGTGCATTCACCTTGATCTAATGGTGGAATTAGTTTGTACTTGATACAAATTGTTGGGTTGGTTGAATTTGGCTCATATTTGACAATTATTATTTGGATAAAATGGAGTTTTGAATGGTGAGTTTTTTGGAGAATATGCGGTATGAAAAAAAATTGGATCTACGTATAGAATATTTTATTGTGTGAATGTATGATTAAAAATAAGTGTATAGAAAAAAAAAGTTTTTAAAATAATGGTAACGAACAGGGGCTTAGTATTTTAGCTCAACATGTTATTAAAGTAGATTTTTTTTTTTTTACCTAAAAAAGA